AAAAAAAACAAAACACACACACACACACACACACACACACACACCATAATAACAGCTTAGAATTTGAGAAAAAAAAAACAACAGATATGTAGGTAAATGCAACCACCCGGCGATGATGACAATTTTTGACTACATAATATTATATTATTTTGTGTACACGAAAAGTTATTCATTGTTGAAATATAAAACGTAATCACATTATTCATAATATGATTAGAAAAAAAAAAAAAAAATAACAAATATTGCACTGCTGCTGCTACTGCAGAAGTTTAATACTTTATACCGTTCGTTTGTATACGACCGAACGATATACTCGTACGCGGAAAACTCAGCGACTTGAAAACGGAAAAATTATATACGATTTGATTGAACTCGTCACATAATAAAACATAGAATAGATACGATACCATTGATAGCATTATTTATTTTTATTTTTGGAAGCGGGGCTGTTGTGTTCGCCCGGCCGGTGACGTTTTGTTTATGCAGTGGCCCAGGAATCACAAGTTAAAACCTAACCCTCTAGACGGTTTATTTTTCAACACCGAAAGTGCAGACGCATATTATCACGTCGAAAAGTAAACATCTTTCGAACGGTCGAATTCATTATCGCAGTTTTGCACAAAAATAATATACTAAAACGTCCGTTTCGCTAACATTATGCATATATGCGTATTATAATATACTACTGTATTCTGAATATATATGATAATATTATAACATAGAGAAACATTTACATCCGTGAGTAAACAAAAATAATATTAATTTCTGTCTATCTCTGTCCCTTTCTCTCTCTCTCTCTCTCTCTCTCTCTCTCTCTCTCTCTCTCGCCCTCTTTATATTGTTATCAAAACTCGGATCGGTTGATATAAATACTATATAATATAGCTTCAGCTTTATACAATTCGATTCGACCGTCGACCTTTACTTTTCAGTAATACGAGGCACGAATCACGTATTTGCATGATGATTCGTTATCTGTTTTATACGATATTTTTCAGCCTAGGTCTTTCATTCTTCTGTGGCGTTTGGTGCCGCATCAATCTAAACTGCATCATGATGTTCTACATCATCGGGTGTTGTGTTAATATTTTTGTTCATACAAATTCGCGTCCACTCAAACACCACACAATTAACTACCCCTGGATAATTTCTCCCCTCTCCGTTAAACGCGACTCAGATAGTCCTATTTATACTTTGAACCGTTCTAATATCATTTTTATTTTCTTATTGGATCATGGTAAAAAAATAAAATCATCATAGACGTGCGCAGGGAGATGCCGGGTATGCTACGGCGTCTCTTGTGGTCTGCGGAGCAGTTTCTTGTTCTTTTATTAATATTTAGTGAGGTATTTTACAAATTTTGTTATAAACAGTAATCAGTTAAGAAATGTTGACGGTTGGCTTACGTTTTGTTTCTTTAACTTTCATTACAGCTATATAGTTAAAATATTATTAATCTTGATTTTTATCAAGTACTTACATTTTAGTGATAATAGGAGTTGGGAATCGAGATATCACAACGACGCTGGTTGCATAACCATTCACGTTACCTTACAGAGTTATAGATGAGAAATAACCATAGAGCAGTCTGATTATCTGACATTATTCGAGCGAAAATAATCAATACCCTCATAATTTTTACTATAACATTTATTATTGGTTATTGTTGTGTAAAAATAATTTTTAAAAAAAATTGTCTTTAATAGCATATTGTTAAAAATTCGTATGAAATATACTTGCCAGTAGGTACTTACCTACTGGCATCTCTTGCGAAAAAAGTCTGCGTGCGCCTACAAAATTGCTCCGTACAATTTTGGTTGCGATTTAGGGGATGAAAATAAAAATTTAATTTTTTTCCAAATCGATGTTCTACTCGAAGACAAATCGATTGAAAAAAAATAATTGAAAAATATTTAATATTAACAGCTCTAGAAAAATCTGTCGAACATGGTGAGACACACTGTATACGACCGACGCAGACGACGACTATGTACACCTACCACTATGTACCCGTAGGAATGTCAAATAAAAATTATTGGCTTTTTCGATGCATCCGGAGGGTCGTTCGGTACAGTGTATAAAGGCTCGCCGGACCGCTTTTGACGTTAAATGGCTCGTATATTATTATTTTATAGGCCGAGCCCGCGCAATTAATATAATATTAGTATATATGAGGACCGCGGTCGTCGACAGCGTTTGTATACACACCACAGATTGTCTTTTTTAAGGGTTCGGTCCGAACTGAAAGCCGTTTTAAAATATAACCCTCACACAAATGTTTTATAAAACGTATTTCAACATACCTATACCGGGTGATTCATTTAAGTGGTTACATTAGTAGTATTATCCCGGAATGTATTTTTTTTTTTTTTTTTTTGACAATTTAAAAAACAAGCAACTCTCAAATATTACAATAACATTAATTTGTTCACTCTTATTTTCGAGAGTAAAACGATTACCTGCTTTTCAAATGACAACCTATATTTAAAGTCCCATAAATATTTACCGTACTGGTTTGAATACATTTTTATGTTGAAATTTTTGATTTTTATTAATCTGTTGACGTGATATTTCACTTTTGAGTTTAGGTAAGTGAGAGCATTGGAGCATTATTAAAACGCCTCGCGCTGGGCTGCCACGGAACTCATGAATGAAAATGAAGACGCCAAAATTTATTTAATCTATTTATAAAATGTGTAATATATATTAAGTTGCCCGGTTGCCGTTTGAAAATCAAAAGTAGATAGTCGTTCCAGCTTTAAAAACAAGGGTGACAATAATAATAGTAATATAACATTGTAGAGCTGCTTATTTCTTAAATTGTCAAAAAAAAAAAAAAAAAAACTATTTTGAAAAAAGTTTATACTTTCCGACATGAGTGTATCCACGTACATGGATCACCCAGTTCTTACCTTCTTACCGTATAATACGTACGTCAATATTTAGAGTATTTGGCTATTAAATGGGTTTTTTTTTCTTCCTGATAACGCAAATGTAAGCCGGTAAAATATGCATTTTGTGTTATAGGTTTACCCGCGTATTCTCGTACACAATGTTTCATTCGCATTTTTTGTCTTTACGAAAACGAGATCATATTTTTCATTATTTAACTGCACGTAGCTTGACTCAAATATATTATTCCGAGTGTATATTTTTTTAAGTTATAGACCTCGTCGAATCGTCTGTGAAAAACCTCAAAAATCAAATATTCCGCAAAGACAGTTTTTTACCGTTCGACAGATTAGATATATACATATACATAGTATCTAGGTTACTACCGCAAATCGATAAATATATCTAAATAAATTATTGTGATTTCGATGGCTTTACATAATAATATGATAACGAATTCATAAATAGCCGAAATCCCGCAAAAAGTTTCATTTTTCCGATGTAAAGTAAATATTATTGGCGCATGTATGGGCGATAACGGTATAATATGCGTATATTCTATATCTATAATAATTATTGCATCCGAGTTAATTAAAATTAATAGAATTCCGCATAGGAATACCCGTCAATCTTTAACACCAAGCACGTATTCATGATCAATTATCCAGGGAGGGGGAGCGGCGTTAAATTATTTTTAATACATGAACTTGTAGTCAGTCTTTGCTATATTATAAATATATACTTTAAAAATTTCGGGGGAATTTGAACCCCAAAACTCTCTACCACCTCTATAAGGAGCTTGTTTAACACAACATAATTTAGACAAGTTTGAAATATCATTCACGTGTGTGTGTTCCCGAAAATCAATGGATGGAAAATGTTTTTAATTTTTCGTTTTTGTTTTACGTTTTTAAACGTTTTATTTCGGTTTTGTTTCTCTGAAGTTCAACATACAAATATTAAACATACGATAAATATTTTAAATATTATATTATAATAGTTTTTCTAAAGTTATAATAAAATTTAAAATATTCCTTATTTCTTAATGCACCTGTATATTATATCATAATACATGTGTAAACATTAACATTTTGTTTTTTTCATAATGTAAACAAGCTACTTAGGAAAAACATTGTAGTTTATATCACAAGTTTGGGTAACTAAAACTATAGCGTATTAATATAGGTACATTGCCGAAACTAATAAATAATAACCACAGGTTTATTAATTAATTGTTATTTATTAAGTAGTATTATGTATATAATAATTTTAATGAACTACTTTATGTATTTACAAGTAAATTGCCCTAAAAGATTATACCTAATAATAGCGAGTGTATCAGCCTATGTCATAATCAACATCATATACATAATACACCAATAATTTTAATTAGAATAGTTTCGAATACATAGTATACGTATCGATTTAATTATATCAGATTGGAAAGTACTATTATAATGGATTACTGTTATAGGTAATACTCCGATAAAATCGAGTACAGACCATAGACGTAAATTAATTAAATTAACATTTTTTATTAATAAAAAAAAAAAAAACAGCAGATCTCCATCACTAAAGTCTAATTTTCCCCCAGCCGACTTAATAACGTTGTAATACTTATTTAATTTTTTTTTTTTAATAGGTAATTTATTTTATATTTATTTGTGATTCGTATCATATAGTCCTGTGTTTACCACCCTTCTTTCAGGTATAAAAAGTTTATTATTCCCTCTCGGCAACGATAATCGAGGAATGGAACAAAACTAATTCCATAAAAATAGGTCAATTAGTTATTAAGATTTTAGCTAACATACGAGCCTATAAATGGACGCACAGTGTCTTTCGAAAAAAATCAATTCTAATTATTTTAAAGGTGCCTAATTCAAATCTTTTATCAAAATGAAAATCAGGCACTGTATTATTAAAGTCATGATTTTTAATTATCACAACCAGTACATCAAATTATACGGTTTTAAAGGTTTTAAACTCAATTTTTTAACTTTGAAATCAGCACCTAATATAATTATTTATTCTAAAAGAAAATTGTATCTATAGTTGTTCATAAAGAGGTCTTTTTTGATTTTCATTATTGTTTTCTTAATAAATGGGAAAAAAGTAGGAAAAAGGATAAAATACATAGAAAAAAATGGTTTCATTATTTTCAATTTTATTCTTTGTTGGAACTGTAGAAACTAAAGTGTTCATAAAATACTTAATTTGTCATTTTCTAGACGTGAAATTATTTTCAAAACGTTAAGTATTATTTGATTTTGCATGGATTAAATTGTATTGGCCCATCGGTATGCTTGACAATTTTACACGAGGTCATCATAATAGTTATGCTTCGTGAAAAAAAAAGTTGTGTGGAATGTCATATTTTTTTTATAAGCGTTTTAAGCTCAGATTTTGACGATGTTCAATAAAATTACGCTATTTTATAGCATGTTTAACCAAACTTAGCTATTATTCGTAATTTATCAGTAATAATTTATTATTGCATACAGATGTAAATTAAATTACTTTATGTACCATATCTTTTCAAATATTCTCCTAAAACAATGGTTATGTCTCCATATGACGTTGAAATGTAATTTTTTACTATACAAACGTTTGAAAAACTTTTTTTTTTTCAAATCGAATTAAAATATTTTTATAAAATACTAAATAATATGATTGATTGCCCTGAAATCTTTCATAACCATACATTTTAAATTTAATTCAACGAATTGCTACGTGAAAAACTTATTTTGTATAAAAATGCTACCTAGTCCTATATGCTTAATTTGCCGTCGTATTTTCTTTATTGTCGGATGATATTGCAAATAATTTTGATTTTTTTTTTTAATACATCTTTAACAGAATTTACTGTTTAGCTTTTAAAAAAGACGTTTTAGGATAATGGGAACAGGTGCAGCCACTGTTATATAGATAATTTAATTTATACCTGTAAGCGACGATAAACCATTGCTTACGAAAAAACGATTCTGAGCAGAGTTCAGTTGATAATAATACTTTGTCAACAATATATATCTCATTTTATAGTTAAATAATTAAAAAGGCTTTTTATTTCTTTAATTTCTTTAATAATTTTTTGTTTAATGTTATATCGATTTTTCCAGTATCTTAGAAAAAATGGGAAAAACCATTTTTCCTTTATTTATTTCAGTTTTTCAAATTTTATTAAAAAACTCTTGAGAAAAACGAAAAATGGCCTGTATAAAGTACCTCCCTACATCAATTTCCTTTTATAAAAGCTGCTACACTTAAAAATCTAAGCAAGTTTTCTTATAGAAAAGTGACTGATACAAAAAAAAAAATAAAAAAAAAAAAAAAAAAAATAAACTTCTTTTTAAAACTCTTTAGGCTTTTACGCTTCTACGCTCTTTAATCTAACATTATACATTTAGTCATTGTTAGTCAGTATTCCTATACTGATAATATTTTTAAATTGTGTACAATTTGTATTGTTCTGCAGGCTATTTGATTTATTGAATTTGGTAAATTGTTTTGAAATATTTTATTAGTAGGTATTGTAAAGAAATAAATAAAATTGGAATTTAAGTATTTATTCCGTAAATAAAGATTTATTAAATAACTTTGTGTTTTCTACCTTCTTATCTTTCCACCTACAACAATGACATGCCATCACACACCGGCATATATACAACAGTGATGGTCAAAGTTTTTGTTTTGTTTAGTAGATTCTAATTTAATGTTTACAATTTTCAAATGTTAAAAATAAATTACAAGGGTATTTTACTAACTATAGTCAAACAATATATAAGTTAGTTGTTTTTTTTATTTTCTCATTCATTCTTCTCAAAAGTTCTTACAATACTTATTATACTATATTATATGCAAAAAATCACTTCAAATCGAATAAAATATTATTTTAATTGTGTTATCGTTTTGAAAATAATCTATAACGAATATGTTTAAAATTAACTTTATACATTATTATTTATTATATTTTTCGTTCGACTTATATGACAAAACACTATTTACTTCGAATAAAAGTCTTATATAAATTCCTCGGGACTTAGAATTAATTTACAAACCAATGTCGATGTGCTATGTTACTAAATATTAAGAGTTTTAGATTTTGAGTATAACGAAAAAGCTATTATAGCTTTACAAAGACATGTTGTTTTTATTCTTGAAAAACATTAACTGTTTATAAAAATCTTCTGATTTTTTTCACCGCATATATCTATAAAGATGTGAAATTTTCATTTAGTGATACTTTATTTGAAATATGTATCGACTTTTCAACACTTTGCATCTTAGCAGAGACTGATACAAGTTTTGATGAATGCTTGGTTTTTTGTCACCCACAGAATAAATATGGATTTTTGACAAATAAAAAAAATTAATTAACAGGTATACTAAACAGTGCTAAAAAAATTTAAATGACAGCTAGTTTATTTACCCACTTTTAAACATTTTTTTTTTTTATAGCAATTTATTGAACTGTGTATTATAATTTATAACTATATGGTATTTATATAACAATTATTTAATTATTTAGTACTCACTCATACATTAAATATTATGCTGTAAATTCATTTATTATCTTTATATTGAGACCGTTATATAATTGTACAACTGAACACTTTTTAGTTTTCAGTTCGAGTATGATAATGAGATAACAAAAAACAAGTAATAACGACCAACCAAAATTGAGAGCCCAAATTTAAATGACTTTTATATGAATCATACTTAACGCTAACGTTAAGTATATAAATATATTAATAATTCCGCCCAGAGCAATCAAATTTCTTAGCCCCCCCCCCTAAATACGTCTCTACTCATAGGTCCTATTTTTTGTCATTTAATTTTTTGTCGATTTCTGGACTAGCTTGGTAACAAAGGCTGAAAACCACGAATAATAAATACTACTCTACTCAGAATTGTTTTTTTCGTTTACAATAATTTATCGTTGCGTTATTCAATAATAATATATACACTAAATTACCTCATTGTACCTGCAATCTACTATCCCAACTATCTGCCTACAACAGTGGCTAACTCATGAGTGTAGGATTGGTTAATGATATAATTTGTATATCTGTATAGCTTTATTCGAATAGCGTATCAAAGTGTAGAGAATCTCGCTGTAGCTACCCAATAATAGTGAAATAAATAATAATATTGTATATATTATTACGATACATTCAGCATGAATTATTGTGTTTGACGAACGAGAAAACGGTTCGGGACTTCCCGTATACAAACCACCGTGCACATACAGGAAGTTGCTTTTACGTATATACACTGAAGCTACTATACGATACGTAAGTATAAAGTATATTTATATATATATATATACGATATACTTCGTCATCGCTATTGTGTCGGCAGTCGTAGGAACCTCTACAATAATAAGAAAGGATGAGACGCAATGTATTATTATATATTATGTAATGCGTGCAATATATAGCGATAGCACTTCTTATCAAGTATTATCATTATTATGCTATACACCTGCATATAGGTATATTATTATAATAGATATCGAGTTTCCTGTTCCGCGGTGAATGTAATGTCTATTTTCATATTATTATGTTCGCCCAATACATAGATAGATAGTCGTGTTGTACCCGTACCTCATATACGCACAGGTACCTAATCTCCACCGAGTATATTCTGAGCCGGTTTTGTGGAAAGGAAAATTTACATTATAATATTATAATAGACCACGGCCGAATCCACGGGCGCGTGACGACCGGGTAACCCGTACTTTATAATACTAATGGAAAACGAATTCGAATTTAATCGCGATTTATTTTGGTTGTCCGTGATGAACTATAATATAATACAGGGCGATTCACTTGCCATCAAGAACTAGCGATTTTAGCGGAGGATTTTTGACGAATTCAATTTCAATTTCAGCTTTTTTCCCTTTTTGACCATTATGAAATGGTTTCAGATTTGTTTCAACACTATTTTCAATAGTTGTGTAGCCAAACTTTTAGTAGGAATGGATTAACAATTTGCCTTCTACAAACTGTTACAAAAATGTATTACACTAGGTACCCTACTCCTACTTAACGTTATAACGCCAATTAACGCTAAATCCGATTCAAGTGTTATGCATATCGACATTTCTAAAAAATATTCTCTTTTCAAATCTTTGTTTAAATCAAAGGAGGTGGGGTTTTCTATTAAAAATGTCTATAAAAATCACAAGTACGAAATCGTTAAAGATGTAAAGCGCAGAGGTGGAAAATGAAAAATAGTTTTAAAATAAAGCTTGAACGATTTCATAATGACTGAAAAAAAAAATTTAAAAAAATAGAATGCACTTTAAAATCTTTCGAGAACACCGATTTAGGAAAAAGTGGATCACTCTGTATATAGGTAGAGTTCACACCCGTGTAAATAAGCTTAAAACGACCTGGACAGCTGCAACTGTGTGGTTTACGATTGTGGTGTGTGGCGCCCCAGGAATATTGCGGTTTTCGTGTAATATAATATAATGTAAAAGCTGTGAAAACCCTAAGACATCAGGACGACGTGCAAGATAACTGAGGCCTGAAGAACTAAAATATTACTACATGGAATATCGAATGAAAAATGTATTCGGTTATATTTAGAAAATTATTTCGTTAAAGTAAGCGATTAGTATAAGCCAACAACATATGATATAGAAAGAGTATTTAAAATAAAGCGTTAAAGTTCTACAAATCCAATATAAAAGTGATCCTATAAGATCGTCTAAACAAAATTGTTATTTTTAAATTATTAGTGTATGCTGATTTTTAATCGTTAAAAAACACCGTATTTGTAAAATTTTGGTTCTTGTTGGTGTATTAGAGAAGTCATTTTGAATTTTTCCAAGCAGTTTTCATACTAATTAAGAAAATCCGGAAAAAGACGTAAAATTAAAACTGACAAATTTACGACGTATTATTTTAAATTTGTGTAGTTTATATTTTTTTTTTTTTCTGAGAAATCCAGTCTCGGTCGAAAAATGACAAGACACCTTTTTTGTTGAATTTTGTTGGCAGTGGCGTCCCTAGGCCTCTCTTACGGAGGGGGGGAGCGAAATATATTTTCACCTATTCTTAAAATAGAACATTTCTTAAAAATGTATGTCACAGCTAATTTAACCTAATTTAACGGGAATTTTATATTTGTGAAATATTAAATATAACATTTTAGCAGGTACATAAAAAGGAAATTATTATTTAATATAATTTAATATAATGCATGTTATAAAATAATTAATAAATTGATAAATAATAAATAAAATAAATTGTAAATAAATTGATAAATTGTATTATAACATAAAATCTAACCTCCGGTTTTTCATACGAGAAAATCGTTCAATAATTTCATCCACTAGTATACTTCGTTTTTGGTTATGTTCAACAGTGCAAGCTCGGACCGCATAAGCGATTCTGAATCATTTTTGAGCGTAACTATGTTTTTAGTCTATAAATAATTAAAAAACAGTAGGTAGGTACTACCTAGATTTATAAGCAAATGCCAATTATGTAGATTATTAATTGTAAATTAATAAATAATAATATATGCTCTAAATATTTGTCCTTAAAGAACTTTTTTTTTTATCTAAAGCATTGAAGTAGTAGACAGTTTAAAAGAAGTAAGTATTCAATTACTTTTTAAAAATAATATTGGGACCTAGAAATATTTTGAAAACTTATAAAGCATTATAAAAGAATACAAATATTAAACAGAAAAAATAGGTATTACAAGATACAATTATTCCGTTTTAGAGTAGAGAAGGATCGTTCAGCGGATGCTACACTTATAGGCAATCAAGCAATTATACTTAGCAACTTTTTGATGTTAGAAAAAATGATTTCCTTAAAATTTGAAATACATTTAATGAATAGCATCACAGTCAATACATTCGCCTAAAAATTTAAGAGAAAAAATATTATGTGTACTTTATTTATTATTCAATTTTAAAAAGTTCTTATACTACTTAATAATTTAATAAGATTCAATTTTTTTTTCTAATCCATCTTGATTTCCAAAGTTGCAATTCAATTTTTAGATCCAATGCATCAATCATATTGCTGTCTCCAAATGTAAAATGTTCTTTTATAATCTTTCATAATTTATCAGTATTATTTTTCAGATTTAATAATGAAAAGGGTTGTCAAACAAAATTGTCACATATAATTTACGTATAATAATTATATGACCCACGAGGGGAAGGCAAATGCCCCCTTTGCCCCTCTCCCTACAGGTACGCCACTACTTGTTGGTTAAAAAGAAAGTCTCGCATTATGATTTTCTAACCATTTTTCATAATAATTAGAAAAACCCGAAAATATTACGGGATTAATAGTTTCGTTATTTTTGATTTTGGTTTTGAATCGTTTAAAAATAATTTTTAATAGCTTAAATATATACAAAATATTTTTATTAGTGTTTTATGCACATTGTAAAATATTCATTACATATACATAGATTTTAAGTTATTAATAGGCATTTTATATTTGATAGTTTCTTTTAAGTAGTTTTTATTCTGTAGGTTTTATGTAGGTAAATTTGTTTGACTAACACAAATGCTTAAAAAACTAATTCAATGTTTATTACAAGTGTAACTTTGTGACCGAAATAAAAATCTGAGCGTAATGTAGTAGGTTTTTTGTAAAAATTTTAAAATTATATTTTGACGAAGATTTTTAAATATTACAGCATTTAAAAACGTTTGTAACCAAATTTCATGTAGAGTTGTATTATTTTGTTAGCAATGGTTTATCGTATACTTACAGATTTAAATTAAATAATTTTTTTTTCTTACTTTCCCAACTTCCCACCAACAAAATCCATCAGAGTTATTAGTTCGGTTTTATTTTTTTTTTTTAATTTTTAAACAAAAATATTTTTCACGACATGATCGGCAAAAGACCTCGTTTTAAATTTTCGTTTTATTACGAGTTTTTTTTTTACGCAGAAATTCTGAATACTTATTACGGTGTTTGTCCTTTGTAATAAATAAATTATTTTAGGCTAGTTTTTTTCTCATAAATGTTTATATTAGTACATCACAGGTTTTGAAGTTTATTCCAGTGTGGTATATTTTAAATATATATACGTATTTTTAACTGACGTAAGTATTAATTTTTAATGGGAGCTTTAGAATTTTAGGTAAATAATTTGTAAGCGAATAAGTAATTAATAAAAGGATTCGTGAATAGCAGACACATCAAATATGAAATTTTTATTTTACACTATTACTGCATATATTATATAGCACGAAGTTTTTAATGTAAAATGTAACGATTTAATATAGTTATATAATTATTTTGAGACATTTTGACTTCGTAATATATTCACATTTATATAGCGGTTTTAGCCATTTTCAGCTATCCGTCATCCATAGGTATACCGATTAAAAATCTTCAGATTTATGTTTTTCATTTCAGGTTTCAAAACTGCTGGTTTTATTAATTATATAATAAAGAATAGTTATTTGCGTGATATTATTAAACCCATTGGCCCATTAATTCAATACGATAGGCCGACTTTTAAGTTTCGAGCATTGCGTGTCATATAATGTTATAATTCTATATGATATTAATCTTGTACGCTTAATTAGGGGAACGGATCTGACTGAACCGTTTAAGTAGACGTCTGTTGCAGTAAGTTGTTGTACAGACAAATTATTACTTAATATCTAGATTCCTATCGCGAAACGAAGAAATACGCACACGAAACGAGGCTATTTCTTATAGCGAAAATATCTATTTTAGCCGACGTGACGAATCGAATGCGATAAGTTCCTGTAAATCGCGAGAACAAATGCTTATACGGCTCACGGGTAGACTACTGTTGTAGGTAGGCCGTAATTTAAATGATAGGTAATTCGGTTTACTTTCTGTATGCAACCGTGATAAAACGAACGAAAAAACTATTGGTTCGAAAAGCATTGGTCGTATAATCGATTTTTTTCTCTGTCGCCAAAGTAACTTAAGAATCAACAAAAATCAAACTGCGATAGAAAAGGAATTCAAGGATGAACTGCGCTGGAAATTTCGATCAAATATTACAAATAAAGTAGGTATCGTCGTGTAAAATTCCGAATCTTTTGCGGTATATTCGGAAAAATCCGAACATTTTCACTTACCTTTAAAGGTGTTTTCCGAGGAAAAAAGCACGTCTTTATAAACCTATAATAGCTTCTTCGTTATATTCAGAATCTAAAAAAAAAAAATCAAGTAACAAATTATTACAAGGGAATGGAATTACACGGACAATGATTTGGATACATAGTAGACCCGAATCATCTAGTCGTTGTGGACTTTGTCTCTCGTATAAATCAATTCGATTACCGTTTTGTAATATTATTACACATTACGATATGATATTTCAATCATTGTTTATGTATATTATAAATCTATAGAAATCGGAAGCGGACTCAACAAAGACGAAGCTGAGTGGGACGAAGATGTAGGGTGAGACGAGCAGGAAACGTAGATTTCGTCTCTATAAAACAATTCGGGCCCACGCAGTGTCTATATTGCCAGGACATCCGGAATTGAAAATCGGATAAAAAAATTTAATGAAGACTATACAGTGTACACTCAATTGGTTTCCGGAGATCGTATTTATTTTTTTCAGGTTTTTTCGACTGAGTTCGCTCGAATAATAATAATATAATAATGTTCCTGCAAATCTTGAACTACGTCATTATCACGATTGATGAAAATACGGTCTGATGCAAAAAGTTCGGAATATACCTAATACGTGAAATGTGATGGATAGTCATTTTATAGTGGAAATATTGTATAATAATATATTATTGTACTGTCGTCTGTCTAAATGTCGTAATAATATATTTCCATGTTTTGATATAGATAGCAATAAATTTAACCGGAGACAATTGGTCTTTGTTTTATACTAAATTATGTTCGAATACACGACGGTATTCGAACGGCGTTAACAATGCTTCGTTCAGCATTTTTTTTTTTTTTTTTGAAGACCGTTTTCTTTTTAGTTAATTTTGAAAAAAAAAAAAGGAGGGACCTCTGGACTCGATTCCTTTCGTTACTCACGGCCTTGTGGACAAGAGTAAAATGTTTAAAAAGTTCCAGTTATATATTTTGTATGTAGACAATGTTTTCATTAAATTACATTTAGTAATCAATTGCACCGTGTTGTTTTTATTTATTTATTAATTTCTGTAAATTAACTTTGTTGTAATCTTCGTTAGATTGTTTTAGAATCTATTGATATATTTTCTTTTAACTTTTAACGACTTATCGATATGGTATGTTACACTTTTAACGTTGCTTCGATGAACACGATGCAAGGCAGTGTTGTGTATTGCACATTTTAATTTATATGGATTTCAAAGTAACAATGAAAAAATAGTAAAAACTTTGAGATTCCCTAGTTACGCTATTGTAAATATATGTTAGTTTTAATTAATTTCCTTGAGTGTAGCTTGGAATAAACATTCAAAAAATTAATAACTTGTAATTTTTATAATATCAGGTGTGTTCTATAAAGTATAAGTATTTTATTTTATTTATTTAATTAGTTTTTTTTTTTTGAAATAACGAGTACCTTGATATATTGTAGTTTTTTTGGATATTGTATATTTTTGAAATGTCGGACGACGATAACGAAACGATCGCAATGGACTTCCGCGGAGACGCTCCACCCACGGCCATGGACCCCTACCGTGATAACGTAATAAGCGCTAAACAACAGAGTATACTGAACGAGCTGAGAATAGATTTGTGTCACGAAGATTTGGCCTACCTAAACGACCATAAAGAAGTAATGATAACAATAATTTTAACTTTGCGTATCGATCGTATTATCACTGGAAGGATTCGAGATTTTTAGCATTAAAAATCATAAAGCTAAGTTCTTTAAAAAATTTAAAACTAAATATATATTTATCTTCAAAATAATGAACCTCTACCGGTCCTTCATAATTAAAAAGAGACATGCAAATAGCTGATAACCATGAAGGCATTATAAACTAGATAAAATAATACAAAGATGAAATTGTGGTTTCAATTTTAGTTCTATCGGATATAATAATAATGGTATCAGTATATAATATAATCACTAAGTAAAAATATTTGAAAATAATATTTACTACTAATATGGGTTGTCTTTGGCTACATGCCTATGCATTGTCAATACTGAATAATTAAAAAACATGCACAGTAAAAACCAGATGAACTATTGAAATAAACACAAATTAGGTTTTAAAATGTGCTGAATGTCAAGTTACGAGTAACGAGGTTGAACAGCCAGAATAAAACAAATATCTACCTACCCTCATTAACCGCATTAAAATATAGACGAGTCACGGGTGTATTTTACCCAAAAATAGTCAGATAGTTTGCAGGGACACGAAAGAGGAAAGACATTTAATTACGACTTTCAGGAGAAATGCCAGATTTCAGGATAGGGGTAACCGAACGAAGTTTCCGCCTCTAACGACCGGAGAAGCCGAAGATTATAATATTATTTTAAATGTTTGTCGTAGAGCGCACGAGTAGGAAAACACAAACCTCAAGTTAGACAACGAGTCATCGGTCAGGTGACCGCGAGATTCACGATGTTCGTATAGTAGGTATATAGCTGACATCAAAGCGACAATTATTAGGCGAATCAAAGGTGCCAAATTAAATTTAACTTACGCTCACGTCCAAATAACTATCGTTAGTATACGTTAGTGAAACGGACCACATAGCATATACTATAGCTGACCTTTTTTAATTTGTACTACAGCGTTATCGAAATACAGACAGTATGGTGAAAATAGTAAAGCGATTTTTACCAATAAAGTACTTGAGTTGATGTGATGCGTGAGACTTTCTAATGAGCACCAGTTGATGATGGCGTCTATAACCCTTTATTACTTTCATCGTGAATTCGACACGCGAGCGTAGAAGAAAAACCTCACGTGGTAACAGTGTGGATTTATTTTAACCTCAGCACTCGCAATTATTTTATATCAAACCAAGTAGAAAGAACAAAAGGAAATTAAGTTTTCTACAGTGAATGTCCACCAACAATTTTTGAACATAACTGTTTGTAAATTATTATCATTAATAAACTAATAATATATTATCTATAACTATAACTATTAATATGGATAGTAAATTAACTTTAATTCGCCCAAAACCCGTTATCGTTTTTAACTTTCGTCAGTTTTTTAACTTTTATTAAAAAATTCGAATATTCTAAAAGTTCGTACGTCGTTAATTTTCCAAGAATATTTACTTACACGTAAATATAATTGTCCGAGAAATGAAAAACCACGTCTTAGTAAAACCATCATTGATTGTAATATATACAGATAATCCATACAATAACAATATTTGTGAATCACCTGAATATGCTGTAGCAAAAGAACGCTAAAGTATTCTGGATACAGTTGTTATAGTTGGTATAGAAGTTGCATTGCTGTCGCTTTTCTTTGATTGGCATCAGGCACGTAGTCCATGAATTAAGGTTTCCTGACCACCTATATTTAATTATTTATGTTTTATCTTTCATATTATTTAAGGTTCACTGATTTAATGATTAGATGATTTTTTATTGGTATTTGGTAGACGATTTAAGTGGTGGATCCTGAGAATGAGAGAAATGGGGAAATTAAACCTAACCAAAACACATAGTATAGTACAGTATACTATTTGCTTGTATTGTGATAAAATATAACATTGTATTTATTGGCATTGGCACGAGCAGACTTTTTTCGCAGGGGATGCCAGTAGGTAAATATATTTCAAAATAGACGAATTTTTAACTATATGCCTTTATAAAGACATAAATCAGATTTTTCTTCCATAACTATAAAGTTCACAACATTATTCAATGTATGTACTATAGTAAAAATTATGATAGTAATGATTATTTTCGCTGGAATAATGTCAGATAATCAGATTGCTCTATGGTTATTTCTCATCTATAACTCTGTAAGGTAACGTGAATGGTTATGCAACCAGCGTCGTTGTGATATCTCGATTCCCAACTCCCAAAATCACTAAAATGTAAGTACTTGATGAAAATCAAGATTAATAATATTTTATCTATATAGCTGTAATGAAAGTTAAAGAAACAAAACGTAAGTCAACCGTCAACATTTCTTAACTGATTACTGTTTATAACAAGATTTGTAAAATACCTCACTAAATATTAATAAAAGAACAAGAAACTGCTCCGCAGACCGCAGGAAATACCGTGGCATACATGGCATCCCCCCTGCGCACACCTATATTAAATGGTTTTGCCTCTTCCCAAAATTAAGATCTGAATTATGAATATAATTACTAATTATATATACACATTAAATATTTACACATCAAACAATATTTATTTTAGATTCTAAGCGAAGTGAGGAATGTATAGGTTTTACAATTTTTTTTTTTTATTCTGCATACACAAATTCCATCAAAAATCTTGCTCTGATGTATCAAGTGTAATTTTTCTGAGAGATAATTTTATCAGGTTAGTATTTCAGAAAGGTGATTTTTTTGATTTTAAAAGTGGTTTTAATAAACGGGAAAAGCGTATGAAAACTAAGAAAATTTACGAAAATAATATAATTTTTTTTAAATGTTGTTTTTTTGTTGTAGCTCACTTAAAATTTTTCTTATAGACTTGAAATTTAGAGGAAAAATTACAAGTACTTGCTTTTTCTAGACGTGATAAAATTTTCAAAACATTTAAGCTACTTTGAGCTATTTATAGGAATTTTATGTTTACGAGTTTTTTTTACGTAGTTTTTATTACTTAGGTACTGTGTGGATAAAATTGTTGGACCAAATAAAAATGCTTGAAAATTTAACATGCGTTTCATTATAAGTTGTACTTAGTGGTCAATAAGAAAAAGTTAAATTTAATGTAGTATTTTTTTTTTATAAGAATTTTAGTATCAAATTTCGACTTGTTTAAATCGTTTTTCTTAAGCAATGATTATTAGTTGCAAACATTTTAGTCATTTTTATAATCTACCTTCCCAACTTCTCACATTCTACAATGTTCACCCATTGTGCTAAATATGTGTGTCTTTTTATATTAAAATTATGAATTGAAATTAAACATAACATTTAAACAAATGTGACGGAAAAGTGTATGAAAATCGAAAATAACAATGAAAAAATAGTGTCTGTATTATTTTACTTAACCTATTAATATTGTACAAACAAAGAACTTTCAAACTAATTAAAATGAACATTACTTATTAAAGGAATGTAAACATTAAAAATATAAAATTAAATCACTAGTTGGCCTCTTTCGTATTATCGAGTCTCTGTGCCCGTGGTGACTTCTAACTTTGTCTCATGCCCAAATAGGTGGAAGCTATAGCGACACTCGTGATAAAGGATATATTAAGGAATACACCTCAGGACCCACGCGCACACGCTGCTCGTTTCTTAAAGGACTCACGTACCGCTGAAAGAGTAGCCAACTTCTCACGATTCGAGGACAACACTGAGCACGATTTGCTCGACCGAGATGTTCGGATTTACTCGACGATGGCGATGGCATTGGACGAACATAATGCCTGGCCGGACTATGATCAAGGACGGAGAGCTCATAATTTGTACAAAGAAATCTTTACGAACGAACCGCCACCAAATAATTTATAGCGATTGAGGTTTTCTACAGGTTATCCGCTCGACTCGGTAGCGAAAAATGCTGCGTTTTTAATTGCGAATACATTACACATCATTATTATGATGATACATTGTATTGATTCTGGTACGAAAAGTCATCAATATGTTGTAAAATTAGAATTGTTTTATCTCTACCAAAACGTATTATAATTAATCGTATAGAAGTTATACTATAGACGACCACGAGTCAACAGTTGAATGCACAGTGTCTGATTTTATTTTGAAACCTAAAGCTTTCTCATTACTTTATTAATGTTTTAAACTTGGTATATTAAGCTACATGACTTAACGGTTAATCTTGATTCCAATATAGCCCGGCCTTTTGGTACATATATGTTTACTTTAGATTTAAATTAATTTATTAATTTTCCTTCAATCATTTTTTAAATAGAATAAAAACGATTACCAACTTTTTAGTAACTTTTAAAATACGGTGAAAAAATGAAATAAAACACTATTAACAAAAGTTCATTTACGGTTTTGGTTTGGCGGAAAGTGAGTGTAAAAACTTTCCACGGACATCCGGTCTCAAATAATTATAATACACAGTACGTTAATTACCAAACCTTATTATTACATTTACCTTATAAATATCATTACAAGACTTAATAAACATACTTTTTTTTAATTTTTAATAAATATATATGAACATCTTTAACAATAATATTGATAGGTACCTACAAAAAAGTACATTACCAATTTTCTTAATGTTATAGTGCGACGTAATATTATCATTTCCATTATAAATTTTTTGAATTTTTTTTGGTTGTTGATACATTTTAATACATCAACATTTAATTAATATTGTTTATTAAATGTTGATGGACAAATTTTTGGTACTTGTAATTTGTATTATTATTTTCAAAATTGCATCGCTGTACTTACCTATATTGCTATAAAAGTTATAATAATAACAATAATAATAATATAATAATAATAAATATATAATAAAGTTATAATAATGTATGATAACCGGACATGCTACACATGTATTTGTTGACTCTGTCTTTCACACGTACGACATTGAGAAACTGCATTTATTATAATTAATAATTATGTACTCTTAATTTCAATATTATAATGAATTTACTTATTATCTAACTAAAAAGGAAGAACATTATCCATAATTTAACGTTGGTTTTTCTGATATTTTAATTTTCAAACGAGATGCCTATAAATACTTTTGAATTGTGATGTTTCACAGATCCGTAGTTCATTTAATAAGTTAAATAATCAAAAACACTGAACATAATTTTATCTTATTAATATTTGATGCTCGTAATTCAATATAATATTAAAATTAACTACTCAAAATTATTTTCGCTGTACGAAATTTAGTTGTGCGTTTGTAACACCTGAGATAAAAAAAATAATATGTATGTTTAGCGTCCTCCTAATAATATGAAAACGGATTGATTCGAAAGTATTTTTTCATCGCCAGTGATTTTATTTTGTTTTCTTTATTTTGAACACGATATACCATCATAACATATCATGTAGACATTTGTGATTATGCAAACAGTATTCAATCATATTAATATATTATTGTCATTTCGTTGTTCGTCCTTATAGTATTATATTACCATTAAAACCCACGCGATATGTATGTATACTGAATAATAATAATAAAAAAAAAAAAGTACCTATATGCTACATACGTGTATATATATATATATATGTATATTGTATAAACATAATTTAATTATTTAAAGAAAAAAAAGAACGATTCCGTGAGGGCCCAAAGCCCGAAGAGACACAACGTTCGATTATTTCCTCGTCACACATATTACTTATTTGTTTAATAAATTAATAAATCCAAAATGATAGTATAATAGATACTTAAAGAAAAATATTATTTTATTGATGCCGAGTTAAAAACTGAAGGTATTAACAGTAAATTTTTTATTGCGTGTATGGAATATTATGGTAATGTTTTGAAAAACATTGTAATTATAATCTTCAACAAAAACTTAATCGTGTAAAACGAGTCATGCCTTGGAACCCCTTCTGAACAATACAATCTGTAAATATAGCAATGCTATCTACATTGTGGCCAAGTCCAGTCTTTCTTTCGTCCATAATCTCACAGCGTTTCTACTCTTATGATACCACTACTGCTTTGTTTGTATTATTTAAATTATGCATAAAACAGACTGGGCCACGAAATCATAATTTTGTTACGTTGAATTTTTTAGAAGGGACCCTGGGACTTTTCCTTTTTCGCGTTTAAATTTTTTTAGCGATATCGTTTACTTACAATATAAGTCCTAACTTTGTGCTAAATTTTACGTTTTTAACTATACGGCAAGTACCTTATAATTTCGATGATTGAGATTCATGACCGAGTCAGTTAGTCAATTAGTGACAAACATGCAAACTTTGAAATTCTTCCCTTTTGAAAAGGCTAAATATTAAAGGCCTAATTTTTTACAGTGTTTTAGTTTACTTTAGCTTAATATAAGTTTAAAATTTCAAAAACCAATCTTTAGAGAAATTAGAAATATGAGCGTGAAAATGACTCGGGCAAATTGATTTATGTAAAGATACATTAGCGCTCAAATATAAAATCATTCAACGGTTCTATAATATGTATATAAAACGTCTGAAAAAAAAAAACAATCATCATCAAATTTAAGTACTCAAAAATGTTCGTATAGATGATTGCTGATGGTCTGTAATAAAAAAAAACACCCTATAAATTATGTATAATATTCATATATATATATTATGTATTATATAGTTTGGTGTGAGTTTTATTATGGTATTATCTAATATTCGAAGTTCAGATCAGAGTAATATAAGGGGTTTAATATTATATTTCGGTACCCGAACAATTTCTTGTCTATGTTCAGATTGCTATCATTCTACGCGGATACTTTTCTAATCAAAACTTTAAATATTGTTGTATTGTTTCCGTCTAATAAACTGCATACCTATCTTAGTACTTACTCTCACTATTAAAGTTCTATATTTTACAGCAAATCACAATATAACCTAATATACTACCCAACGCGCGACAATTAAAAATAAGCGATAGTATTATATATTGGTTGCTATTATTGAAAACTGAGTATTAACGGAGATAAAAACAAATATAAAACATTTTATTATAAAAATCGTATAGATATGTAAAAATGAATAGAAATCGGTCTATTGAAAAAAATTTACAAAATCGCATATTTATCGACAGGAGTCAGAAACACAAGTTACAAGAGACTTAATGTTATGATAATAACATATAACTACCCAATCGATAATATTCATTAAATAGTATGTTATTCATATATATTATTGCATACAAGGTGATTATTTTATTATAATGCTGCAATTTTATCGGAGAATATTTCAAGTATAAAATCGAGTTTTGTTTTTTTTTTTTTAATTTTAATGGGAATATTTAAGTTTTATATTAACACTAATTTCAAATATTTATTCCCATTTCTTATGAGATGTTTGTGAGTATAAAATGTTTATTTTTAAGCAGCAATATCCCATCCCCTTTTCAACACAGACGCGAAAATAAAATATTTTTCTAATAATTTCGATTTGTATATCCTTGAAATTGTATTTGCTGTTTTTGAATATTGTAGCAGTTAAGAATTTATACCAAAAAATATAATTACTCTACAAATATATGTTTTCTTAAATGTTAAAAATTTAAATAGTATACTATTTCAATGTAGCGATAACATTTGCTATTTGAATATAATAATATACATTAACATTCTTGTTTCTATTTAAGTTTTTCACAGTTACTACTCTCTATGACATTGCACTTAACCATTTTATTGTACAGTATTTTAAATTACTACTAATTATATAGAATATAAAAAAAAAAAGTTTTCCGATTTCCTGCAGATTGATTTATTATTAAATTAATAGAAAACATCACGTAAGGTTAAAAAGCTGACTGTTGTTTAAATAACGACTCCACTGCCAACTGTGGTACTTACGGTTATTCGTCCATATGCGGTTAGGTTTTCTGGGGGGGAAAAAATGTCCCAGTGAACCCAAATGGTTCCTCGATTTATCGGGAACCGTATATAGTTACGTTCACCTTGTTGTTTATGTGCTAGGGTTCACGGGTCACGACCGAAATAGAAATTGAAGAACGAAATAAATTGTGCGAGTCGTATACCGTGTAGTATAGGTACTATATACTAAAAGCCTCGTTGAAAAACGCGACCATTAGATGACAAATAATTCAGAGACCCAATAGAAACGTTACGTAGGTACCGATTACAACAGAGTTAAAAAGTCGCTAAATGTCGCCGTTGTCGACGTCATCAGTTGCATTAGACGGATCGTTTATCACGCCGGGTAAAGTGTGATAACGTAAAAAGGACTTCGCGTTCTTGTTTTCGTCGTTATAAATAGGTACATATGAATAAAATTCTTTAATGAAAAAACAGGTTGTTTTTTTTTTTTATCAACAAGGACTAATTTGCCTATTATATTGTATATACGGAAGAAAAATAAAACACCTATAGTTTGAATCGTCTGCAAAAGATCAGGTCAAATTTAAGTATAGTTATAGATTTGACTACCCGATTAGAATTTCTCATTTTCTCCAGGCGATTATATTATGATCGAGATCAAAGACTACACAGATAAAGTGGAAGATCATTTATTATAATTTAGCCGTCTGCACCTATACGTATCAAAGATCCCATTTGAATTATTTTATTTTTAGATTCCAAATCGAGGAATGCGTATTATTTAATTAGACTATGATTTATGCTTTTTCCTGTCTTTTTTTTCCGCCTTTGTACAAGTTTTCGAACAAAAGACTTGCTTCAATCATCAAATTTAAGAGTGAATTTTATATTTAATATTTTTTGCCTTTGGTAAGTTATTCTTATGCTAATATAATTCAAGTAGAAGAATTCGTAGTTTTCCGATTTTTTTTTTTTTTTTAATTGTTTGATGTCCTGATTTTGTCAAAAATCAAATAATTTATCAATACTCAGCATATTATTTATGTGAACAAAATTTGTTTAATCTTGTAAAAATACCCAATATTTTGATTCGAGGTTTATTCAAACAGTTGATAGGCACTTGATGAAAAAAATAAAAAAACAAGTTTAACATTTCTAATTAATATCAGTTTAAAATAATTTATGTTTTTAAGAGTTTAAGTGTACATGTTTGATAAAATTTGTTATCATAGATAATTAAGGACAGTTGTAATTTATTTTGAAGATTATAATTAATCAAATGTGCAATTAAAATTTATCAAAAATATATTTTACTGAATTCTGCGTAGAATCGTTTCTCATATTTCGCAGGTTTTTTTTTTTGAACTATTTACTCACATGCCGATCATAGAACGAAATAAACTTTATTCCCTCTATAAAATGTATCGGGTCCCGTTTTATTGTTATATATATTGAGTACCTACCCAAACGATTCGCACGTATTCGTATTAATTATAACTTTATTACTTATTGCACGAAACGCCGCAGCCTTATCGGCAAAGTGTCCGGTAATAACGTAATCTGTTAACTTTCAGACGGCAGTAATATAGTGAATTAGTGTTTATTAAAGCAACATAACATTTTATATTTATAGAGGCGTATGAATGGCGTGCCAGTATTTTAATGTAATAACCGTTTATCAAAGAAAGGGGAGGCAAAAACGATTATCATCGTAAAAAAATAGTCCTCTTGTCTCGTTAGAAATTTAAAATATTATTTACACGAAAACTGTCTTAATTTTTAATTAAACTAAGGGGGAGAGAAGAGGTTTGTATAGTAATTTTTACAAGAATATTTTATTTTTTCTGTGATTTAATTTAACGTCTTTGAATCTCGTACGATATGCGGCCATTTATGTTTGTTTAATAAATATAAAAAAACCAATATTGAATTAATTTTCGTTTATAGCGTTCAAATATTATAATAGAAACGATTTTTATATTATTATTATTAGTATATTATTATTATTGTTTTACAGTTCAATTCGAATATTATTTGACGGTTTAAAATTAAAAAAATATAATTGCACTGTCATATAATACTCGGCGTTTCTATATATTCCAATAGTACAAACACAATCATATATTTTAAAAACCACGAACAAGACGTACGAAATCGTGAGTGACCGCCGCGTGACAAATGGTCGATTACATCAAAAATTAGCAAAAACTAGTTTTATACTTTGCATTATTATTATTCTTTTTTTTTTTTATTGTTGTAAGTAAACAACTTACTCATTTCGATCCAATCGTCAACTACAGGAAGCTATTTGGTAAACAATTTTATTATTTTACGATGTATTAATATTATATCGGACTAAAAAAAAAGAAGAAAAGAAAATGTTAAAAATGATAATATATTTATACTGCACAAATATAACTGTAGGTATCGACGTAAAAATGAGAAAAAAATTACATTTTTTTTTTATTCACAAAATAATATAACTATATACGTAAAAACGCTTCGAGAAAAACAAATAAAACGCTCACAGAGGAAACCGATTTAAAACGAAACGTTCAATACCTGCCTATGTTGTATAAAAAAAAATAATGATAATAAAAATAAAAAACAAACAGAAAAACAGTAATAACCGAGTAGATTCATTATGTAGACATATCTATGTACGTAATATAGTTTCACGCTAAACATTTATCCCTTATATACGCGCGTCGGCGTCGAAACGCACACCTTCTGTGACCCTATTCTTGATATCACGCCGACGGTATTTGTATTTTATTTTTTTTCATTTTATATTTTAGACGTGAGTATATACACAAAGAATTATTATCCGTATTCGTATTATATTTTATATTATGTACACACATGCGTTTTGAGTGTTTTCAAAGCGCATTGATAGTGTTTTGACATGGCATACAAGCAAAGATAAAAAATAAAAAAAATAAAAAATGAATCAGAGCACCGAACGAAGTCGTCGGAATAACTTTTATGCATAGACCTGCGCACGAGGGAAACAGGTGACGCTTCTCCACGGTGAGATTTTCCCCTGCCCTGTAAGATCTTCAGTCAGTATTTATTATATATATATATATACCTATAAATGTTTTTTAAAATTGACATTGAAAATCATTTTTTTTTTTTTTACATATATTATCGTAAGTTTCTATTAACTGTATAATACTAAAAATACGTAGAGCGTGTTTCGTGTTTTGTATCAAATATAATGTATTATTATGCTTATTTTTGTGCGAGGAATAATTTCAAAGATAATGCCTCTTCTCAAAGCCATAGCGTTGTAGCTATAAAGAAAATGTGTGGGTTTTGACTCCTAGATCCCTCCCCTGCAGTCTTAGCTATGTCTTCTACCGTGAGGAGGTGCGAATGCTTACAGAAATATAAACAATTACACGCTTAATATTATTTTAAACTATCAAATCAAGATGTACCTAGTAATATAATATTAAGTTTTTTTAAATGCTGTTCCTTAGAAACAAAAGATAAATAAAAGTAAAACAGAGTATGAGTTTGAAGAAACATGACAAGACAGCTGATGACAGTAAAGACAATGAGTGGTTATAAGTGAGGTTGAGAGTTTTAAGTACCTATGATCGTTTGTACAAAAGAAATGTGGTCTTTGGTTTCCATGAGCATGTGAAATATGGGATAAAATGTGTTTGGACAAAGTGGTGAGCAATGTCAGGCATTTTGTGTTACAAGAGGATTCTAATGAAACTTAACTGAAAGTTAAGTTCTACAGAAGTGTGGTAAGGCTAACTATGCTGAATCGAGTGTTGGGTGGTAGACAGTAAAATAGAACAGAGAATGAATGTAACAAAAATACAAATGCTTAGGTCGATGAGTGGAGTAACAAAAGAAGAAAGGATAAGGGATATGTATATAGAGATAAGTGATAGCTTAGGTGTATTCGATAGTGGAGAAAATATACCGAAATGATCTGGGTATGCTACGGGGAAATAAAAATTTGAAAAAGTGAGAACTGTAATGAAAATAACTGTAGGAAAAAAGAGATAGAGAGGAAGACTGAACAAAAGATGGTCGGATGCGATTGAAAATAATCCATGTATGCGAGGTGGGAAATCGGGTCAAGTGGAAGTTTAGAAAAAGAGTGGCCGACCCTAAATATTTGGGATGAAGGCGAAGGAAAAGAAGATATACAATGTGCCGCATGTTTGAAAATCCGAATTTAGGATTTTACAATATATAAGTTTTTGTATTTTATTTTGTTTTTGATTTTTCCATTTACTTTCAACAAAACTCTTGTATACTATTACATATTAATTTTGAATGCTTATATTATATGGACGCCTCTGGTAAGTTTGAACAGTAAAGTTTTTAGAGTAAATTTGTTTTATATATACTGAAAAGTGAAAGAAACAATACTATACTATATGATACGATACTTTCTGTTATCAATTTCACTAATCTGGTTTATCTCTCTCTTTTTGATATAAAGGTACATCATTGCAATAAAAACAATTTTAAAGCGACCGGTAAGGTTAAGTTTTTTTCCGGAGAAACCTAAAAATTGAAAAAAGAAAAACCAATATATATATATCAGCAATTTTTGTTATTTTTATTCTGATTTAAAAGCTCAACACATATAATAAATAACGTATTTACGTCTGATAAACATAGATTTTTGAAAGTTTGACGAACAAAGAAATTTAATGTCCAAATCCTAATTCCTGAAATTTCGAGGATCATCACTCAGTATGTTTCTCAAATTATCAATAGTTCATTAGTCACGAAAAACCAATCGTCGTTAAAATTTAGGGGAATTTTGAAACGATGTATTTGTAAAATTAATTAATTTTGTAACGTAAGTATCGTGGTTTCCTTTATGAATATTGATCAACAAAAGTGAATCGAGTATAGATATTTTTTAAAATGGTTCTAGAAACGACTTAGTTTTTTTTTTTTTAAATGTTTACGTGTGTATAATTTCATACGGGTATAGTATAAAAACGCAAATCAGCTGTAATTCAGTCCTGATTTGTTCGCTATGGCTGCTCCTCGCATACTGATTGTAATTTGAGACGTGTAAATATAACCCAAAAGTAATAGTAATGAGAGGCGATAACTTGTATTTTATTCAACACTCGTAGCGTCCGATGACAATAGTGTTGTATGAATTTTGAATATTTAATTTCTCAAAAAATTCAATTGTCTGAAAAACAAATCCATTACGAGAACAACGGTAAATACAAGTTCGGGTGACCTTCGAAGTAAGATACTTTTTATGATAATTTTTTTTTTTTTATTTGCAATTATTTTAATGGAATTTTATCGTATCGGGCACATTTACGGCAATGAACGTGTCGGCGACCTGACCGCCATCACTATAATAACGACCTTTACTGCCGACCGCGCATTAAACGACCGTAACCGTATACCCGATAGTCGTCTCGGCCCATCGTCCGCTATATAGGATACCCACCTATACTGTTACGAACTCCAAAGTTGTAAAATTTTACAAGCCGTTTTCGAAACGGCGTGTCACCATCCCGACCACACATTAGTGTTAAATCGGTACACGTACGCGGCCTTCAAATTTCGGATATTAAAAATATATATATATATACGAGTATATGTTATTATGCTTTTGGGTGGGAAATAATTCGTATTAACTTGAAATTGATGATTATCTGTATAACTATATGAAATTATTGCCAAAAACTGTTTTACTGTCGGTTTATGCGGATACAATAATTTATTTAGATCCGTAAAAATGCTCGAATATATACCCCCAGCACAGAGTTTTTCAAAAGCTTGAAAGCTGTCGTTATGGTTACCTATGAAAAGGAATTTATTGTAATATCATCATTTGTTTGTACATCGGGTTGTATTAGCAATGTCGAAAATTAATCATATTACACCGCCGATAGGAAACGATCGTCACGCAGCCGCGGTAAATCAAACGCCATAGCTGGTGTCTAACCAAAATTGTCCCAGACACCGACGGGCTAGATAAAACAATATAAGGTGACAGGAAAACGGTGGTTTTCCGGACGAGATATGACGTCGCCACTACTCCGTCAGAAGTGACATCACGTCAACTGCGCACTAAATATTATAATATCACTCGCGTTGTTGTATTATTAATCATCTCAGACTTTACGGACTTTGAAAACTCTCGATTGCTACTGTATTTTTTATTTTTTTTGTTTTGCATACATGCAAATGCGGACGAAATTCATTCGTCGAACACCGAGAGAAAATTACACGACCTTTCTTTCTGGCGCGTATCGTATTATAAAACTCTTGGTTTCCCTTTTTTTATGGGTGGGTGAGAGGGATAGTTTATAACAAAATTATAATATTCATCGTGTGCGGATTATTGGCGGTAAAAATCAATAGCGTACGTTCGTAAATTCGCTGTCGGCGTACCAGCAGAAAATGTTCTCGAATAACATATTTACAAACGAAAACATGACGATCAAACGTTCGCGCGATCAAAGTCCTCGGATAAATGGAAATGTAATATTGTTTTAATATTTTAATCATGTAACCCAGGTAGCAAAAATATATTTTATTAAGATATATAAAATAAAATTTGCATAATGAAATGATTTATGAAATCTTTTATTTTTCCATATTTTTCATTTAAATAATATTTAGAAAATATTTATAAAATAACGGATGGCCACAGGATTTTCGATTATTAAATATTTCAAAAATCATATTTTTCAAACATTTTTTTTATTTATAAGAAAAAATGCAAATGCAAATGCAAAAAAAACGGAATCCCGTAACTTATCACCTACCTTGTTATTAAGAATTTGATTTTATGACTATATAAGTAAATTTCAAAATATTACAATATATAGGTATCAAACAGTGACATCTCGAAATTGTGGACTTTTTGGGAACAGGAACTTTAACCTCCTAGTATAATATTACACACCAGTGCCAGGGAGAAGGTGGATGTGGTGGGAGGGCATACTCCCTTTTTTTTTTTATTGGTTATTTCGGTGTATTTTATCATTCAATAAAATATGATAACTTGTATAAAAATGATAAGTGCTCCCCAAAAAAAAAAAAAAAAAAGACTACGGTACTGTATAATGTAACATAATGACCAAATACAATAATAATACAAATTTAATTTAAGTGCCAAACTATACATTACAAATTATATGTTTTTATGTTATTTTTTTATGGAGATGATAAGTAAATCTCGGTCGACTCGTTGTGATCATGGTACTTTTAATCGTAATAATATTTGTTTGTATTAACAAATTTTTCCAATTTGGCGATTTATGAGATTTATAATCAATCAGTCGTTGGTAACGGTTGGGTCTATACTCTATACTCGGAAAACGCTAATATTGCTATTATTTTATAGATTGTCTGTGCAGCTGCGTACATTTGGACAAACCCGATAGTAAACTCCTAGGTTCTAACGTAGAAAATATATATCCAGTGGCGGCGTGAACTTTTTTATTTTATGAGGCAAACAAAGGTTTTGAAAAGTGACCACTTCCACCTAAGTATTATTCGACAGATTCGGAGGGACGAAGCCCCAACACACCGTCCCCCCATCTTTACCAATTTAGCATTCCACAAATATATGTAATTTAATTCATGATGATTTTATATTTTTATTAATACAAAAATGAATAAACATGGGTAGTTCATATATTTTAATGATAAATTATAACTTTTTTTTATTTCGCTATACGTCAGTACAAGAAAACACTGGACTAATGACCAAAATAATGAACCATGTAAAACATGTGACATTTAATCGATAGACTTTAGTAGTTTGTGGGATTTTTTTTTAAATTAATTTATACAATTAATAAATCATTAATTTAATTTTATCTTCTTCGTAAAAATTGTGGTTTATTTAGATGTTTGCTGATTTCCTTTAACACAGAATATTTAATACATGGAAGTTAAAGTGAATTAGTGAAATATAATATAATAACTTAATATAAATATTAAATATATATTTACTTTATATGAATAACAATAAAGTATTAAGTATTAAGTATCAGTTAGGTATCATCCATATTTTTAGCTTAGGAGTACCACCACCCAATTGGTCATGAGGGTATCGCCTCATGCAATACCCTATAGCACCCGCCACTGTATATATCTATACTTTTATGTATTCTTATCATCTCAATGATAGAATATCACATAGAAATATAGAATCATTTCTATATCGTAATACAATTATGTAGGTTTCAAAATTATTATGATCATATATTCAGAATTTTATTTTATTATTTCATCAATGATGTCATATTATTAATGTATTCAAAATATTATATCAACAAATCGCATATAATAATATAATAATAGTTTATTCATAATATTTTTTCAGTTTTTCATTTATGAGGTTATATCAATAATATATTTATAATAGCATTTAAAAACGTGTTATTATTGTTAATAATAATAAATTAATAATATGTTTATATTATTGTTTTACAAAATATTTATTTGATATACTGTCAATTTTTATTTTATAATATCATTTTTTTGATGAAAAATTGATATTAATATAATATTATCATTACAGATATGTTATCTGGGAAACGAGTTTAATTTGGAGTAAATATTCTACGTTATTATTTTACTATCATTCGCATAGTTCAACAAACTGTACAGCATTTTGTTGACGTCATGCACTTACTGTCGAAAGAACAATTGATTTTAGTTTTGGTGCAAATAACAGAGGCATAACTTCTATAATATCTGAGTTAGTGCAAATTATCATTATTCGGTTCCTTAAACAAATATATTTATACAATTTCGGCGCATATTACGAGCTGTTTATATATTTTTAGGTCAAATTTACACTAAATCATAGTTACACCACTTTTTTTTAAAGATGACAATTGGAAAGATGGGATACAGACAGGAATTTAATGTATATCTGTAAACAATGATAAACCTTTTGCTTACGAAAAAACGTTTCTAAGTTGAGTTCTCCATATGTCATATAAGGTAAAATAATTAAATAGGCATTTTATATTTTCTTTAATAATATTTGTATATTATTATTATTTTTTTTTTGTTTATTAATTATTAATTTGTAAATATATATATATATTACCAATTTTACCGGTTTTTCACATTTTCTGGAAAAATCGAAAAATGGCATCCATATAGTACCACTCCAATCAGATTTTTTTCAAAAAAAGTTCTATCAGTGTAAATCCGAGTAAAATTGATGGTAAAAAAGTAGTTTACAGAAAAAAGGCCGTAATATTTTTTTAACTTATACCTAAATTTTGACATTTTGTACAGTTCAAAATAATAGAAATAGAGTGCACAATATTCATTATAGTAAAACCAACAATCCTTTCTTTAGAATCTATACAAAAATTATTTGGTTATAGGCTAGAGACAAAAAAATAAGTCGCTAGATTTTTGCATCTCCGTGCGCCGATATATCAAACTCAAATCTATGTGTATGTGCACCATATTATACGGAAAGTCCAAAAAAAAAGTTATTGCAATCATTATGGCCTGATACGGTTTGTTGTATTACCGTGGTATGTAAAACATTGCTGAAAATAAACAGTATCCGGTCGAGTCGTTCTTGTGTGTATTGATTATTGGGATGCTACGTAAAGTCTTTACTAACCATAGGCAGAAATGGCCGTCACTGCCGGTGATGGCGGTACGAGCGTCTTGAATATAACCGGAGGTAGATTGTCACTTCTAATTACTTCATTGACAGCAATTTTAGAACTCAATGCCAGTTTGAATAATTTTAAATTTTATGTTTGTGGCGTCATCACGTATACTTCACGTACATAAATTGTTAAATACGAATTAATTTTTCTGTGCTACTAAATGTAAAATTGGTCGTTGCATTAAGTATATGCACGTAAGAGCAATTAATACGAATATGACAAACCGACGACGTTCTCACCCAAAAACGGATGATTCGTATTGATGAGCCAAAGGGAAAACGTGTTCGAATGCGGACAACATGCTACCATGAAACAACAACGATGGTATCCACCACCACCTAGGCATCGACCAAAGCGACAACCTATATCAGCAAACGACCAGGAGAACCACAAAGGGAGTTAAGTTGGAAGTCAGGAGTCTACACCACCACAGATGTTCAGTCATTTCTAAAGTGTATTTATGTCTGGTAAATACAACTAAGTCTTGACTCTGGTCTATTCTCTATTATAAACTATTTATAGACTTAAAAAAACTTGTCCATCTTCCCGTCCGAAGGCTCTATCTGAACGGCCCGTAACAATATTTACAATGTGTTTTTTGTTTACGCTGAGATGGCCAAGCTCCGAATCGACTGGATCGGATGATGAGGGATCTTGCAAGGTGACGACGACCATGGGAGTCTGGGAAGCTGAAGCAACTACCCCGAACGTCTCAGTGGGGACCGTCGTCACGGATCCGGCAAACGTGCGTCTCGCCCTCGCATTTCGTTTGCACGCACATTTCGCAATCTATAACACGTAAACGACAGTGAATCACCTGCAAGGTCGCGTTAAGCCATCGTAAAACATTAAATTATGTATTGAAGTGCGACAGCTTAGAAGAATATAAATGTCAGGAAATTTATAATATTATCAGTATTCTAAAAAATCATGCTGATTTTAGCGAGTGTGCGTAAAAATTTGGAAAATATATGCTCGTAACTATACTTTTGTGGGAAAATATCGTTTAGTCAAACGAATTTTGCCGAAAACGTGTTTGCTCGGAACCGTAAAAATAATCATATTTAATGATAACGAAAAAAAAGAAGGCCGTAATATTTTTTTCAATTGATACCTAAATTTCGTGCATTTTCTGTTTTTCTGACATTTATTCCCGGTTTTTCTCAGATATTATGAATATCGCATGAAAAAACAAAAAATATAACCTTCTTAAAGTAACATGTAGATAAAATTTCTTCTCTGAAAATAAGCTATACACTAGATACATCGGAGCAAGATTTATGGTAGAAAAGTTTGCACAACAAATCGAGGGATATTTTTCGATTAAAATAGTCCTAGTGAGCGATGACTTGGGACACCCAAAATACATTTGTGTTTTCTTTGTTAGGGTAAAGGGGGGAAAAAATGCAAAAAATTAGTTTCGAAACTCTGATTTGAATTCACGATCCCTAGGATGTCAATAGAAATGTATTACCATTAGACCACGACAAATAAATTGTTTGTCAATATATAGTTATGTTACATAACATATACTTGTAATATTCGAAAAATATCAAAACGTCAAAAAGCCATAATTTCAAAACTATATCAGTCTGTTCAATTACTTCACTATCGTTCTTAAATCGGTAATATACATATTTGCAAGACAACAAATGGAAAAAAGAACTATTGTTGATAGGTGCAGCCACTGTTGTAGGTTGGAAGTTAGAAAGGTAGGATACATAAGGATATTTCATTTATACGATAAACAATAAACGATTACTGACGAAAGACGTTTCCAAGCGCAGTTCGATAATACATAATTACATAATTTAAAGTGCCGTAATTTTTTTTAACCTTACATTCCTACGTTCCTCGAATCTATTGAAATATTTATATTATGAAATTTGAATGTTTTACGCGATCATTAAATGCATGGACCGAAATTAAAAGGAATAAGTACACAAAATGGTATCACTTAACACTGATAAGTAACAAAACGGTATTATTTTTTCTGAAACGTTACCCAGTTTTCTTTTGTACACATTTAAAAATCGTGGAGTTTTAAGATTCAATAACTTTTTTCATCATTATTATGTCAAAAAAAAAAAAAAATAATAATAATAAAAATAAAAATATTAATAATAATAATAATAATAAAAACACTACGTCTCAAAAAAATATCTCTTCTACATACTCGTATATCATGTAAAATATGTTGAAACTCTTTGAAACTCTAACTCTATAAAGCTTTTGTTAAAATATGTTCGCGTAAAACTAGTTTTTTTAATCGCAATAATATTATACAAGTGTGTGACGTCCCCTAGTCCAACAATTAAAACGTAATTTAAACCAGTAAATGCAGTTTTCATTATATAAATATGGATAATTCGTTTATTTTTTTCACAACAACATAAAAATACTAAATCATTAATCCTGAACTGAGTATATTATAACGAATTATACATATATAATACGGATTTATAACTTATAAGTGGAAAAAAAATCTGAAATCAAGCCGATGTATAGTACCGTGTATGAATATATTTTTACTCCGATATTTAATATGAGCACATATAGCGATTTATAGTTTATTATTTTTATTTTTTTTTTTTTTTATTTTTTTTTTGTAACTAAAGTGTGTGTATATTTTATCTATACCTAGAAGCGGATCTAGGAATTAGATAAGGAGAAGAGACTAAAAAAAATTCACTTTGTATATGTGTTAATTGGATGTATTTTTAGTATAAAGTATAATTTATATAATTTGGTATTTCATGCTTAAGGGGGGCATTAGCTTCCATAGCCTTTTTGCATCCACTCCTATCTATACCAATATTAATATATAAAAATAATTTTTAACCAAAAACTTTCGTTTGCGTTTATTTCCTCCTCCTTATAGGTATAGGCACAGATATTTTATGTTTTATTCCGATTAAAAATACCAAAAGAAAGACTATATTTGATGAGAACTTGATTTGGGGAGGCTTTACTGGGTTTCGGGGAGCTACTCTCTTAAGGCTTTCTTTATTTACGTGAATACGAATATATTTTTCAAATGCAATTTTTAAGGAAAAAATTGTTGAGCACTTTTATTGATTCAAAACTACTTTATTCATATAAAACCAAATAAATACTAATAAACAAGGAAATTCCAATCAACGACAAATAGTAAAGAAATCACAATTAGATAAATTTTCCTGTTTTTCTGACGGGTTTTCGAGTATTCACCCATTCAATAAAAAATATCAAAGGATCGTCCTCAGTACTCCAACTTCCATATTTGAACTGAAATCACCTTTAACATTAATGGTTGATGCAATATTTCCTGATATAAAAGTTATTTATAGGCCCAAAAAAAACACATATTAATCATAGTGACCGGACTTATGGTTTACTATACCTATATTATACGAAATGAATATTGTATCGTAGTTAAAGCCTTTTTATTAGGCACATATTTATTGGGTACCTAGGATCCCAATAAATACATTTCATATTATTCAAATACAAACATAAATTTAACTCGGCGATCGTTGTTCACACTCTTTGATACGTTCGTTAATTTTCAGTGAAACACGCCCGACTATAGTATAGTGCTTAAGGGGTGAACGATTTCAACATACAGCGATATTATAATTATTTCGTTCTAGGAATAAGGAGGTTTTTCGTATAGAAATATTATAATATGATCGTGAGATTAAAGAAAGTTCTTTACGTTTTCTCTCTGTACAAAATACATTATTCTCCGTAGGTTCCTGCATTGTAGCAGCCACGGTAATACCTATACTGGTATTATAGGTATACTTGAAAACAACATGCAACGTACGCCAAAGGCCATTCAAATAATTTACGCTTATCGTTCTGGATAAAACGGCGAAATCCAAAGACTTTTTTTCGCGCAGATTACGCGTAGCCGTATTATTTCTTCTAATATTATAAATAAATGTGCAGAGTGCCTGGAAAAAACTACCCACTCTGAGAACGTGACCGCGGAAATTTGAATTTCAAAGTATTCAATGGTTTCTCTGTTTTACGCGATTCTGTGGGACACGCGAAAACATATTGTGATTATTCGTTCTTTAAAGTTATACACACCATGTGTGTTGAATTACCCGTCTCTATAATGTCAGCACGTCAAACTTTTCGGGCGTGTTAACTGCTCCGGAGAATTGTTTAGTTTTAGATTAGGAGCGTATTTTTATTTTTTTATTGTTTTTCCCGAGTAAAACGAACAAATAGTAATAATAATATAAACCACATTATTGTAAAACTACGTTATGCTCAGAATCTAAAAACACGAAATCCCGACAATATGAACAAAAGAAAAGTATAGGTAAAACTCTACACAGGTCGAATCCATATTTTTTTTCCACTTCTCTTTTCCATAATAGTGGATACCATAATAAATATAATTAATTTTATAAAATATCTAGTAGTCGCAGATTGCAATAACAGGATTGAAATGCTTTTGGTAGTTAAATTTATTTAAGATAAGTAGTAAAAGAGGAAAGATCATTTATAATATTATAATAATATATTTACAAATCGTGCAGTATTTTTAACATAGGTTTTTATTGAAATTGATAGGTATTTTCATTTAAATTAGTTCTCTTGAAGCCTATTGGAAATCGCTAATTAGCATTAAGTGTTCATAACAAACATTGACCTTCTATTATCCCGTTAACCCTTTATACGTTCAAAATTACTGTTAGATAACGATTGATGGTGCCAGATCGGATTCAGATCAGATCAGTTCAGATCAGATTTGCCATTAAATTTGGTTACATTATTTTTTACTAGTGTAAATCTTAGGGAACCATAAATGTCAGGTTTTTTTAGAGTGTCCCCACAGTCCAAAATAAACGTTTCAGCATTCCTGATACTGTTGGTGGGTACAACACTGCTGTTGCTGAGAAGTTGGAAAAGTGATATACAGTTATTTCTTTTATACCCATACCCAAAGATAAATCGTTGCCAACGAAATACGATTCAGAGGTTTGAATAACCATGTTTTAGATCATGACATTTTCCATTTTTATCAAAAAATGAACTTACAATGCTTACAAAAAAAAACCACAATGACTACATCATGAATACAATTTTCTCCCATCAAAACAACCCTTTGTTGATTCTTGTTTTTTTCATTAATACTAGTTAAAAACATTTTATCAATATAAAATAAATTGAAAATAAAAAAAAAAATTGTTAAATGCCTAAAAATAACTAAACAATTGAATTTTTTAAAACTTTAGAACATTAAAAAAAAGCCAACACTATATATTACCATTCTTTGAAAATGTTAAGCCTTTACAATTATTTTTACGCCAATTACAATAAAAATAAAACAAAACCTAAAATAATGAAACAACAATAATGTTTTAAAATTTCCATTTTTTTTGTTACGTTATCCTCTCTCCCCCTAATTATTTTGAAAATTGCATGGATTAAAAAATGGTTTCCTAAATGGTATGAAAAAATCTTTCGTCAGTGACAAGAGAGATTTTTGCGTCCTTAGTTGTCATTGTTTTATTCGTGTCAACACTGTAGGTTAAAACTTGTGCGAACGAATTTTCGAAAATTGATACTCATTTAAAATATTCTGTACAACGGCGAATATTAATATATAGTTACTGTTTTGAAATTAAAAATTTATATTTACTCGACATACTCTTATTACAGTCAAACATGATTAATAACATCCTACATGTCTAAATTAATCATAATAATGGTCATAATATTGTTTGAAATCCAATATTTTGAATTTACAGCGACATCTACCGCTAATATTCAGCGTGCGTTTGGTGCAAGAAGTCGGTAGGTATCACAGTAGATGGCGTTAGTATGTTTAAACACTAAACTGTGTAGACTGAATTTTTTTTAAACTGAACTAACTCAAAAGACTATACTATAAGATTACCATACTATTATAATGTTTCCGTCAAAATATGCAAATAATTGTTTTCCATTAAATATCTTTAAAGGCAAGAACGTGTATTTTCCTTGTATGAAAAATATTTAAAAAAATTACACAATAGGTAGGCATCTAGACTCAATCTAAAAAGTTAGGCTGATACTGGAAAGAATTGACGTTTTCACTGTTTTTAGATATTATTTATTGTATCTGGTTATCTATACAATTTTTTTTTTTTTAATAAAATCTTAAGAAAATTTATTATGTATGAATAGTTTATTTTTTTCGACAGCTTTAGTTTTTAGATTCCGATTGTAACGAAGGATCTATTGGATAATCATGATGTGTATATATATTTTTTTTTATCTGTAAACAACTTTTTCAGAAATTTTGCTCCTATTTATAGTGTGTAGTATTTCTAAAAAGACACTTTTTCCTCCTCGATCTTTGATATTCAAAGCAGTTTTCATAATAATTGGGAAAACCAAAAAGTTAAAATTTATAAACATTTTTGGCAACTTTCCGTCCCCGTTTAAATATTTTGAATTTTTGCAAACAACATATTTTACCAGCGAACTTATTCCAATGTATTAAAAAATGACAAAAGATCGATTTTGTTTCATTCAATATCTAGCCACTGACAGAGAAATTCATTTTTCGATAGGTAGCTAAAGTAGTTTTCATAATATATTTATATTGGCTTTTTGTAGACTTGGTAAAATTTTCAAAATATTCTAGCTATGGCAGTTAAAAAAAAAAATGTTTTACTTAACATTAATGAAAAACGGGTATAATTTGGAGCCTATGGAATTCGTTCATTGAATTATGATTAAATTAGTTCAATTTGCTACAGGTTAAGTATATGATGTTTGTTATAATTTTTAAACAGTATTTTTTGAACAGAATGTTATGGCTTCCTTAAAATTATGAAACATAACTATTATGCACTATTATATTTATTTTTAAACTCAATAATATTTTGGTTTTAATTAGAATGTTAACATTTGTGTTTATTCTTATAAATAATTAACCAATATATTTAAAATTATGACGCAAAGTGTTATTTTAACGGAACACTTTTCTTGTGATTAATGAAATCATTTAATTACTAAAAAATTCCATAAAGTAATTTATGGGTTTAAAAACATAATTATCTGTCATAATTTTATTGATTTTGAAACTTGTCATATGATAACATAACTGATAACTTTCTTTTTTTGATAAAAAAAAAAAAAATACAGCGTTTTTATTTAAGCGTACAATTTTTTTTAATATAATATAAAACAACAGACAACAGTTCACCACTTGCATATTTGTTAAATATTTTATATTTTTGTATTTTATATGTGTTTTTATTTGGTAGTTATCTGTTATTAAAATTGTATGATTTAAAATAAATGTTTGACAATTTAACATAAGATACATTGTAACTTGTACTTAGTAGTCTAAAAAGCAAATTTGAGTATGATGCAATAGTTCTTTTTTTTTCATTAGCGTGTTTTATGATCGAATTTTGACAATGATCGTAAAAATTACGACATTTCAAAATATGTCTTAGTGAACTTCGCTCCGAATCGTTTTTTGTTAGCAATGGTTTATCGTTGTGTGCAGATTTAATTTGATTAACCTAGTTTTATCTTTCTAACTTTTTTTTTTTTTTTATTATATATATTTCTGACAAGTAAATTATCTAGTTTGATATTAATTATAACGCGTAATCGATTATTATTATTATTAACTGCTACCTATATAAAGGAACACTAGTAGAATGGGCTCTCAAAACAATAATATTATGTACAAATATATTCCTATTGTTTGTAAATATTCGAATATTCAAAACGCTATGCAATACCCATTCTGCAGTGTTCGCTGAAAATAACATCGCGTAGATATTGTATATATGTGTATATACATAAAAAATACGATCGATTTACCGAGTAAATAAAACATAAACTAGATTTCTTTGAACAAATTTCCGATCTCGTGACAACACAGATCGAAAAAAAAAATACACGATAAAATCTGTAGGTGCCGACAGCGCTGTTCGTTTTTTCCGATAAATCGATTATTTTCTGGATTCTAAAACATTCGATTGGCGTAACGCAAAATAATTTAATGTTGTAATAGTATGTATTCACTATCGCGTAGTCCTATAGGTGCCTAATATAACGATATTACGATGACGCGATAAACTCATTCCCCATTACATAAGGGGAATTTTTTTTTTTAACAAGATAATTTAACAAGTAATGGAATATAATTACTGCCCGGATTTATGCGTAACAAAAAAAGTCAAAATTCGTTAATATTGATCTTTTTGTCGAAACAGTTAATAAAAAAACCATAAGATATTTAACATAACCATTTTTATTTTAAATTCATTTTTAACATTGATCGTGTAAAAAAAAAAAAAAAAAATATACTCCAGAAGTTAAACATACGGCCGTTAGGTATCAAAAATTATGTTTGGCGGCTGAAAAGGAGCTTTCAACGTCGACCGTGGATAATTCATAGTTGATGTATCAGATGGTGTCAATTCATAATTCATTATACATGTATGTGTTTTCATTTTTATCCAGAAGAATATTTCGAATGGTCATTAATCATTATTAATAATTCTATTAAATTTAATATATACCGTCGTATAAATATTCGAAAAATATTTTCGAATTACGTTCGTATTGTTAACATATTTAAAAATGTGTATTTACATCGAAATATGTGAAAATATGCAAACGAAAAAGTCGTATTTTATTCAATGTGTTATGAAACGTGCTTATTGTAAATTAGTATTAAGAAATCTGCATCCAATAAAATTATATGCCCAATTCGCAGTATTTATATAAAAATCCGCACCCTAAATATTACTAAACAATGATTCTGCCTATACCTAACTGAGGACATTTCCGTGTGAAGTTTTAAATAATATTTGAGTGGCACGTCCTCACGTCCATTATTATTAGAAATATTTAATAGATAAAAGTTTTTCTTCGTTCACATCTTCCACACGATTTCCAAGGTACCATCTCACTAACATTATTATACACGAATGGCACAAAATACACGGTAAGAATCGATAACACACTGGGTGAAGAATTCCAAGTAGTGACAGGCCTAAAACAGGGTGACGCCTTGTCGTATTTATTGTTTAATATCACACTAGTGAAAGCTGTACCTAACCAAAGTGTATAGATGTATGATAATAATAAGATTAACCCTAACTTATGGGTGTGAAGTATGAACGCTGACAAGTCGAATGGAGCAAAAACTGATGTTATTTAAAAACAAAATTTTGATAATCATCTGTTGTCCAGTTATTACCATGATTCAAGTTGTTGACGCAGAATAGAAGACAAAGATATCTGTGAACTGACAGGAGTACCAAGGATAGTCAATTTTGCGAAAGCGCAAATAATTCGGAAATGTGGTTTGGACATGGAATAAGGCGGTCAAGCTCGGTGAATGTAAAAATTGTGGTAGAACTGATGCCAACAGGGAAAAGGCCTGAGGACGTCCAAGAAAACGATGACTATAAGAATAATGGAGTAAGAAAAGACTTGGAGAAACTAGGTGTAATGAATTTGGAAGGAAAAGTAAATAACCGTGAAGAGCAGACGCAAAAAACTCTCGTAGAGTTGTAATGTTTTATTATTTTGTTCGTGTTGTTCAAGAGTATTCGGTTTTCGCAGTGAACGTCAGAATTTAAGAGTGATATATAAATATATATATATATTTTTTTTTTAATGACCACTCAAAATGGTCGATAATAATTTGATAAATGTTGCTAAAAGTTCTCGTTCTGTAGTAGTCTTCTGAATCCTAACGTATTTAAATCATTATAAATTACGATAACGCATTTGATTATAACTTGAACTAAAATAATATTACTTATGTGGATAAGTAGATATAGTCATTTATAGATATGATACATTTTAATGCAGGTATAAAATATAGACCACATAGATTTTTGTTTCCAGACATGTTTTTGCGGTAGTTTACTGGGATAATAGTTGATAACGGTAAAATGATTTTAGCACTATGATTATGTCAGTCGTGTTATAATATAAACTAATATGATAATATAGTGTTGAGAATTTCCATATGAATAGAAATCACGAAAATCCTAGAACAGCACATTATTCCGCCATTGTGCACCAGGTATATAGAAAGTTTGGGAACGCTAAATTCGTTATGAAAATTATTATTAATATGTGATAGTATACAATGAGATATTATTACGAAGATCAATATAATTTAATAATAAACTATATTAACTTTATGTAAACTGTTCGGCGTAATAATCGGTTATTGTTATCTTCAGTCATGTTGCATAATATTTTACTTTACGAGAGTATTAGTTGCAGATTACCGTCTTTATTGTTTTATACGTGTGGTTCAGGGCCGTTTCTGGGGAAGGGGTGTAGGGTTTAAGAGCTGTACCTTGCGTTCGAAAAAAGAACACGAACTATAATATAATAAAATATGAAAATTGTATCAAAAATTTCGCTCCGAGACTCGCAAATTCTAAGGAAGGGCCTGGTGTGTGTTTATAACATTAATTATTTCTAAATCGATTAGTTTTTTTACAACTTTTTTTTTGTTAACTGTTTGTCCACACATAAAACCGGCCTTAGATGTATCAAAATATTATTATAGGAAGTTTCAAAAAATTAAAAAGAAAAAATGCTGATGACGTATAGTGGAATCAGTGAGAATCTGATGGGCTATAACCTAACTTGCATTACCTGAACACTTGGTAGAATCTCAGCAAGCTTCCAAAATATCATAATTTACAAATCTGTAGGGAAACTTTGACTTCGACAAAAGTATAAAATATTAAACTAATATTCTACTATTCCCACAAAACTATTACCTAAGTGCAATATAATATAAATATAATACTTATGATGTTTTTATTAAATTAAAATTGTATATTATGCTGTCTTTACATATTATTATATTCAATCATAAAATGATAATCATTGAATTTTAATAATTTATGATAATAGTATACAAGTAAGATTAGCAATATTATACCGATATCACAAGATACTGTTACCCCTCCGAAAGAAACCACGTAGGTGCAATTGCACACTCGTGCTTCTTCCTTCTGCAAATTCTGTCACTTACAAATACTACTGAGGCATAAACTATAAGCTAGGTATATACCTACCTCAAAGGCGTCTCCAGACTTTGACTAATGATTAATTATATTAAAAGATGGACATACATCGAACGGTGGGTAGACCACCGTTATAGATGAGAAGTTGCGAATGTAGGATATTGAGGGAAATTTAATATATATCTGTACCTAAGCAAATTAAAGCATTGCCAATAAAAAACGATTTTGAGTGAATAATAGTATTGCTCAGACGTGACTTTAAGTCAGTTCCATGGAGGGGGGTCGAACAATTTTTACTCTTGAATACCTCTGTTTTGTTAAAAAAAACTTAAAACCTTATGTCTAATGTCATTTAAGTTTATATTGGCTTAGAAGACTGTAGACATATTGTACAAATGCAGTAAAACAGTACAATATAAAAGTTAATTTCCTTTTTTTTTCTTTACATTAAATAAATAATAATTAAAATATTGATAATTTGAATAACAAAAAAAAGCTGATATTGGGGATGGGAGTGGCCACTATATTAGGTGAGAAGTTGGGAAGGTAGGATACATAAGGTTATTTTATTTATATCTGTAAGAAACAATAAACCATAACTTAACGAAAGACGATTCCGAGCGCAGATCGGTAACACATCATTTGAAGTGAGATTTGTGAGATAAGAAATTTTTTTAAAGATTTTCGTTTCAATTTGATTTCAAAACTTTTACTAAAAAAAAAAAAGTCATTCGATAATTTTGGAAATTTGTCCATGTCTAGTTAAATCCAATATAAGCATTATTACTAAGTTTCAAGTCTCTACGTTTATTCATAAACGAATTATCGCAAACAAACTGTCAAAAATTTAAATTTCTTAAAAGCCCAAAAGTAGCTCAAAAGTTTTGGCGATGATACCGTAAGAAAGTAAACCAAAAAGGCAACAAAAAAGATATCTTGCGATTTTTCGATTAAATCAATCGTGAAATTGTACCTTTTCTTACGTTTTTTCTCACCCGAGTGCTTTTACTTTAAAAATGGCATCGAAAATCAAAAAATTACTTCTTTAAAATAGACAACTCGAGCTTTCAGAAAAGTTGCTACACGTAAAACTCGGAGCAAGTTTAATTAGGAAAAAATGTGTCCACACACTAGAACAAAAAAAATAAGAAAAAAAGACGTCCTAGGATAATGGAGACGAGTGCAGCTACTGTTATAGATAATTTAATGTATATCTATAAGCAACGATAAACCATTGCTAATGAAAAAACGATTCTGAGTGCAGTTCAGTTGATAAAGATGCTTTATCGATAATGTACATGTCATATTACAGTGTAATAATTAAATAGGCATTATATATTTTCTTTAATAATATTTTGTAGTAATACAAAGAATAGGAAATTTAAAATAATAGACTACTATGTAGAAGTACCTCCAAGAATAAGATAGAAGAGCAGATATAAAAATGTGCCTATATAATATGAAATAATTGGTTTAGTTTTTAGTACTACAACAATTGATTCATTTTTAAATATACTAAAAGTTCAGTCTACTAATTATATTACTACCTTCCTTCCGATGTTTAAAGGGGATTCAGAGTCGTAAATCCGAGAACAGAGACGAGATCAATAAATAAAGAAAAATATACTATTTAATAATTTACCGATTTTCCGTATTTCCTGGTTTTCCCATGTTTTTCCAAGTTTTTAACATTTGCTGAGAAAATTACGTCCCTAAAGAAACTCCCCAGTCAAATTTCGTTTCAGAAAAAGAGCATCATTTTAAATCGAAAAGAAATTGCTGGTAGAAAGGTTGTCTACAGAAAAAAAAATCGTAATATTTTACTAATATATATTTGTATATTTTTCTCCGTTTTTCACGATTTTTCCATTTATTGAAAAAACTCCTGGAAAAATCGCACATTTATTAATAACTCTTATAATATCTCCCTACCTAAAAAATTGTATTATTTCGCAGACAAATTGTTTATTAAACGACTTGTATTATATCTTTGTAGGTAATACCATATTATTACGTACACCCTCGTAGTGAAATTTAAAAACTTCAATTCTATTGTTTCTGATTTTCTTGAAAATCGTTTTGTCCTTTTCCATAGTGATACATAAACGAATGGAGTTTGAGAAATTTGTTTGGAAAACAAAACAATATTAATACTATTGTAGTATAAGATGTATATAGTCACAGTATTATAAGGTTTACGTATAAAAAAATTGATTTTAATTTTTTTTTTCTTTTTATTATAATTTTTAAGCTGTTATTGTTTTTACACGAGTATTTCACGAGTTTCGTCTGTAATAATTGAAATATTAAAAACCGTTGTAATACAATTGCACTATACCACTGTACTACCATACTTATATATAGCGGTATGAAAATTCATTGTAACTGCGATATTGTTGTCGAACGCAAAATTAAATTATATTATTTTTCGTCATAAAAAAATATATTGTAATTTAATATTCCTTTGCGTTACACAGGCACATCATATTATTATACGTATAAGTACGGACATCACTCGTATGCTTGTTCGCATAAATCACGAGCGTATACAATAATTATTATTATTATTCGAATTTGCAATATAATAACAACAGTAATAATTATTACTCAAATAATAATAATAATAATTATTATTATAATGAGTGTGTATTATATAGAGCGGGGTCGGATTAAACGCGAACAAAAAAAAAAAAAATTGTTCTACTCGAATTATACGACAGGTACCCACTCTTATACGGAATAAACGTCAAAATCCGCATAATTTAGGTATATTTATTATAATTAAATCGTATATATGTGTACACGACTATAAATATTCAAATATACGTTCCATATCAGATTGGCATAAACACCACGAGGTTCGTATCCTACCTACATAATAACAATAAATATGTATGTTATAAATTGTGCATGACAATCGCACAAGAAAGGTTGTTAAGTATACGGTTTATTTCAAAGTGTCGCGAACGCGCACGCGCTTGTGTGTGTATAACACACACATATACATGTATACGAGAATATGCGCACCTACCTATAAAGTTTATTGTGATCGCGCATAGCCGGAGAGATAAGTGGTGCGTGATACTCAGCCTCCCCCCCCTTTAAACTTGGAAATTTGGCCTGTACCGAGTCGGCAATTCAATATACGATAATTTAATTTCAAAGTACACAAAATTAATAGTCTCCTCGTTTTAGATTCTCGGCGCGGCGAGGAATAATGTATCGGTTTTTACTGCAGTAGCGATAACGTGTGTTTTTCATTTTGCGTAACAGCTTTTCTGCCAGAAATCTTGCTCGGATTTTTGAGTGTAATGTCCGTTTTGATAGCGAATTTTGTCTAGTCAGTACGTTGAACGGGTCATTTTTTTATTTATTAAATTTGCGTTTTTCTTTATAATTTAGAAAAACCTATAGGATTTTACTGGGAACTTTTCTCCTCGACTTTTTTGAAATTTCGATTTTTTTTTTTTTTTTATTGTAATTCGGTTGAAAATAATCAAAGAGACTTGAAATTTTCACCGAAAACTTACGTTAGACTTTTATGTGGATGTGATACAATTTTTGAGCTATTTATAGGTATTTGACATTTTCTAGAATGTTTCACTTTATGTGGTTTGGTTTAACATAATGTTTGAAAATTTAACACAGGGCTTATATAAGTTGTAGTTAGTGGCCAAATAAAACAAACTTTAAACGTAATGTGTATTTTTTTTTGTACTTTTATATATATAGGTACATATATAAATATAAATATAAAGACTTTTAGAATTCAAATTCCGGCAAAAATCGCACAATTTACGCGGCATTTTCAAAAATTTCTATCAAAATCGTATCTCGTTAGCAATAATTTATCGTTGCATACTGATAAAAATTAAATAACCCTTTGTATACTTCCTTCTAAACTTTTAATCTCCTACTTTTAAGTCTTCAACAATGATTTTGTCATCAGCAGTATCAGCAATATTTTTTATGTTTTGTGATACGCGATAGTTGATGTCAAATTTCTATAAAATCAGTACGAATCTTAAATTATCTTGTTGACTTATAACTTGAGAATCGACGAAATGTTCAAATTATTAAAATTTAACAAAAACTAACAATTTAACCTGTTTATTTTGCTCACCGCTCAGAAACAAATATATATTTTTTACAGCCACTCATGTTGTGTTGTATTATATAGGACTTAAATATAAATAACGCTCATTCTAGCTTTAATGCTCCTAAAGGTATATCTTTTATTAATTACCTTTTTTTTAATTGTCTGTTTGTTTTAAGCGTATTTTACGAAACTGTCGAAATTATCGGTTTTACGTTATTATACGGAACAATGTAAAACAACGTCAAGTACGACTACGCGTCAACGTGACACGTAATTATTTAGTATACTCGTATAAGGTGCACAAATCTAATATTATTATCAGACGTATTGTTGGTACCTGTACCTATTCATCTATAGGTATATACTCGCAGATTTCAAT